TTTTTTTTTTTCAACCAGGATCCAATCAGAGTTCATACATTCCATATTTTTGTTATATCTCTTTAGTGTTTACTTAGGTCCCCTACTTTATCCCCCATGATACTGACCTTTTTGAAGAGTCTAGACCAATTTTCTATTTGATTGTTCCCAAATGGATGTCATTTAATTTGTTCCTCTATCTCATGTGTTTCTTATAAACTGAGGTGTGGAGATTGGATTTAGATTCTGATTGACTTTTTGGCAAGAGTACTTAATAGTCAGGTTTGTACTTTCTATTGTATCATAGTAGGAGAGGAATAATATCAGGTTGTCATCAATGCAGCCATTTGAAAGACATTATGCCTGTGTCAGTCTGTTTGCTGTGTTTAGTATCGCTGAAAGTCATATTTTAATAAAAATCTTGAAACATTGGGGTGCCTGGGTGGCTCAGTCAGTTAAGTGTCTGCCTTCGGCTCAGGTCATCATCTCAGGGTCTTGGGATCGAGTCCCGCATCAGGCTCCCTGCTCAGCAGGGAGTCTGCTTCTTCCTCTCTCCACTCGTGCACGCTCTCTCTCTGTATCTCCCAAATAAATAAATAAAATGTTTTAAAAATATTTTTTTTATACTTGGTGAAGGAAATACACTGTATCTTTCAAATAAATAAATAAAATATTTAAAAAATATATTTTTTTATCCTTGGTGAAGGAAATATAGTAAGAGAATTACACTAATCAACATAAGGAGTGTTGTTTTATTTGCATTGAGGATATGATTTTGAGAAAATATATGTATGGTCAGCAGGAGTAGTATCTGAATAGGTCAGTGTTTAGGACAATACTCTTCAGATCATCTAAAGATCTAAAATCAGGCCTGTGTGCCTTTGACTGGTATCTTCCATGTGGTAATGAGAAATTTGAGAAATTAAAAATAGTACTGAACAAAAAGCAGTTTTTTTCTTTGTTCTTTTTTCTTCCTCCCTAATTAAAATTGGTGAGGGTGGGTATAAGATTCCTTGTTAGTCATTTTTGTCATGAATGAGTCAAAGTTGAAGAAAAACATTTTTAAGTTTCTAGATCTGTTTTTATTTTTGATTCTTGGAGTAATCTTTTATTAATGTATTTTAATATAAAACATCAAATGGTGCCTAAACTATAATATATTAGCACCTCAAATTGAAAATGAATGATGGAAAATAAATAACAATCAAGGACAATTAACATGTTACGTTATATTCTGAATTCTATTTATGGTATTTTAGGCATAAAAAGTTTTCTTCTGTAGAACTTTGCAAGATTGACCGTTCTGTCTTATTCAGAAGAAAACCCACTATAAATTTTCCACATTTAGGAAATCGTTTTTAGAACATCGATGAAACATCTTTAGAAATTCCTGTAAATGCCTGTTAAAAGCTCATTGACTTTGTTTTTGCCCTTTTCTCTAGACCACACTAGTGAGCAGGAGGGAAAAGCTATTCAGTTACTGCCATGGGAGTCCCTCTGAATTTCCTGTGGTACAAGGGAGATAGTAACTCTGTAGATAAACAAAATGACTCTTGTTTTCTGCCTGCATGCCAAAACATTGAGTCATTTCACCAAAATCAGCTGGGTTGGATGCTTTATTTTGAATGAAGAACACTGAAATGATTGAGGTTTTTTTTGCTGGTTAGCATTTGTTTTGGAGTAATACATACACAGCTTTAGAAGATAACTAAACAGAATAAAAGGAATCTAGTGGGATTGAACAGTTTGGCAACTCTCCAAAACTAAATAGAAATAATAGTTTAAAAAGACCTAAGATAATATTAAACTTAATATGAGGAGTAAAACATAATATAAGGAGGAATAGTGAAGCTAAATGAAAAAAAAAGAAACACTTCAAAACCTCAGTGCCTGTCTTCTGAATCAACTTCATTTTTTTTTTTTTAATTTATTTATTTGACAGAGAGAGAGATAGCGACAGCAGGAACACAAGCAGGGGGAGCGGGAGAGGGAGAAGCAGGCTTCCCGCGGAGCAGGGAGCCCGATGCGGGGCTCGATCCCAGGACCCTGGGATCATAACAACTGAGCCACCCAGACACCCCATGAATCAACTTCATCTTTAAGCATCCTCATTATCACTACATTTTAGCCACACTGGCCTTCCTTGTGTTTTTGAACACAGTTTTTATACAACTTTGTCCTATGATGCTCTGTCTGAAAAGCTCTTATCTTCTGTTTTCTGATGTCTCTCGTCTTGTCCTTCTTATCTCTACTCACATGTGGTCATCTCCGTGAGTCCCTCTCTGAGCATCCAGTCGAAGGTAGTGCCCCAAAATTAGAACAGTTTGTGGCACCTATCAGACCCTCAAATGAAGCTGTAAACGTAATGAAATTCCGATCAAAATCCCAGCAGGCTTGATTTTGTAGTAATTGACAAGCTTATCCTAAAATTCATATGGAAATGCAAAGAATCTAGACTGGCTAAAACAATTTTATGGACCAAAAAATATGTAGAGAACTTACACTTCTTTATTGCATCAGCACATTCTTGAATGCTGTGCCTTAATAGTGTCATTGTGAATGGACATCTACAGATCATGAAAAGAATATAAGGTACAGAAATGACTCACATTTATGTGCTAGTTGATCAGAGTTAAAACATCTGGTTATCAAAAGGCATAATTAAAAAAATGAAAATTCAGGCCACAGACTGGGAGAAAATATCTATAATGCATATATCTGACATAGGACATTTTCCTAGACTACATAAGGCACTGGCACAACTCAGTGGCAAGACACTAGCCAATTAAAGAATGGATACAAAGTTTGACCTGAAGCTTTACAAAAGAAGATACATGAATGGCCAGTAAGCACATGAAAAGCTGCTCAGCATGATTAGTCACCAGGAAACTTCAAAATAAAACCACAGCATACTACTACATAACCACTAGAATGCTAAAATTGAGAAGACTGACAATATCAAGCGAGGATGTGGAGCAACTCAAACTTTCAAGCCATTGTTCATGAAAATGTAGAGTTAAACATACAGCTTACCATACAATCCGGCAGTCTATTCCCTCCAAGGTATTTATTCAGGAGAAAGGAAAACATATATTCACTCAAAGACTTACATAACAATGTTCCTAGTAGTTTTATTATTATTTTTTTTTAAGATTTTATTTATTTATTTGACAGAGAGAGAGCACAAGTAGGCAGAGGGAGAGGGAGAAGCAGGCTCCCCGCTGAGCAGGGAGCCCGACGCGGGGCTCGATCCCAGGACCCTGGGATCATGACCTGAGCCGAAGGCAGCGC